CTTGAATTTCCATGGTGACGATTTTGGAATGCGTCGGAGCGCATTTCCAACGATGCGGATCAAAAAATCCTAATTGAGAAAGTGCTCGAAGAATCGTCGACGAGCATATCATCGCAAAGAACTCGTTCTGAATCCCTTCGTATTTTTTATTTTGCTGTCACATCGGCTGTGATACGGTAGGGACTTCAAAAACATTCGGAAACGATGACTGGAGCAATATGAGAGTTGTGTCGTGTGCTGAATTTTATTTCTCTGAATCGATACGAGTTCCTACTTCTTCGATCTGTCAAAAACACCAAGAGTATTGAACCCTTTGTTTAACATCGGTACCCTCAATGAATCGCTGCAATTATCCCATCAATAACAACTTCATCTAGCTTTTCGTTCCGATCGTTATTTGACCACCTATAAATCGGGATTTAAAATATCCGCCGACCTCTTTTAACCTCTCTTGCGACTTTTCTGAGGCAGAAAATCGGAAACAAAGGCCGAAAATTGAAAACTTTTTCACGATGGAAACGAAATCGTCTACTCAAAGATGTGTTCATGCGTTTTGGTTGAGTAAAAAACCGGCTCCATAGAAAAAACTATCCAGTCCTATCGACAATCATCGACATTTGTGCACTATTAGGTCGTTGTCACAGTATGGTTGAAGTCTTCTGAAAGGTTATGGCGCTATTGGCTTCCACTCCCTTCCACTATCGAAACTCAGCCTCTCAGCAGTTTTCGACGAACAATCGTTTTCTTTTCTGTGCTTTTTTGTAGCAATGCAATGTAGTATGAACTCTCTTTCAGTGAGAAACTTAAAGAGAAACTTTGATTCTCGTCAAAACTCGGTTCGTTTAGATGTCAATAATGTCCTTGATCAGTCTATCCGTTATCTCTAGCGATACCCATTCTGGGTCATCAACTCGTCGCTCGAACAACCCGACCGCTCCCAATGCGGTCAAGCCTTCCACTCCAGACAAGTGTTTCCTTTGTAATCACCACGTCCTTCTTCTACTTTCATCTCCCAATTCCTTCTGTTTTTCTTATTGATTTCGAATATCTTTCGAGTACGTTGAAAAAAATCTCTGCATCACATGTGGCTCTGATAGCCATCCAGTTTCTTAGTGGGACAGCAATTAAGTGTTTTCACCAGTGGTTGTTTGACTAGAAAGCTGTCCAGTGAACATTATTTTCTTTTCGGTTCTCGCAATGATTCAAAGAACATCACCTTTTCTCATACGGCGTTTTACCATCGTTAATGGTTCTCCGTAGTGAGATCAAGAATATTTCAATGCCCGTATACAGACTGCATTCTACCATGTAGAAAATATGCTCTATTTCTGGCAATGTCATCAAAACGATGAATAAATCCCTACAGCAAAATCGTAACGATACACCCTTTCTTAGCAGTATTTAAGATCGCCATTCATATCTAACAAACATTGCCACCAACCGACCTAAATCAACCATTCTCGAGTGTTGCACTCTTTCCAGAAGATTCAACAAGAAAGTTTCATGTGATGTACCACTTTCTAAATGAATATTCTTCCGCCGAACCTACGACACATGTAGTGCAATGCTTAAAGGTCTCCTGTAAAACACACGTGGTCGCTGGTTTAATCCTGCTTTTAGGTTAATAAGAATTCCTATTCAATCTGGGTATAATCCGCTCGGAGATTGATCAACTTTGAACGATTTGTTTTTGCTTTGTATAATGAATCAGGCTTTGTTGTAGATGTTACAGATACACTCACGAACAGTTCGTCTGAATTTTCGAGAATACAACTTGGACCTGGTTACTGAAAGAGTGACATTCTTCGGGCTCAATTCAGGGTAGATCTTAGCCGATGATCAGGAATATAGACCGCGTAAACCATAGTTGTACGTGCGTGTACCTATGTATATGTGGATATGGTTGAATGGATATTGAAGCTAGATGTGTACCTTACTTAATAGTGTCAAAATGCGTTTCACCTGAATCTATTTTCGATTCGAGTAGGTAAAAAGTCACAGTTGCTTCGACTTTTATTCTTCCATTCCACACCAAGTAAGAGTCTACGTAACTTCTCATAATCATTCAAACGAGGATCCGCACGAATATCAAAAATGTTAGTTTAAAAACGATGGTTTCTCAACCACTTTAAAACTCTTTTTGTTTGATGCTGTAAATATCTTGCTACTTTTTCATGTGGTCACGTCTGCTGTTCGGATCTCTGCACTTCTCACATTAGATTTGTTTCTTCGCTTCCAATATCCTTTATAAGCTGGTTGAGGATTTTTCATTTAATCTTGAATGTCGTAGAATGTTCGTCGAGCAATTCTCCGTGGAGTCCTGAGATAGCTGGGCTGGAGCGTTCCCAATTGTACTACCGAAGTGATGATTTCCTGGACAAGTCCGGTATTTGCTTCTTGTCCCCGGAGGGATGAGAGGCATGGTAAGAACTGCGCGGGGCCGAACAAACACCGCGCTCGTGATGTCTGGAATCACTGCCACTGTGCTATCTTGTTACCATAGTAGTAAATATTTTGTTATCAGCGTTATCGTTATTGCGTATTAATACCTATTATTACCCATTATTTAATATTATTACTTTTTTAAAGATAATCTGCAATAAAGTAAACTTACACTAGGCACTGTTAAACTTACGCTGAAGCAAACTATATGATGAAGCAGAATATTGTATAATTAACTCAATGTTTTTAAGCTTAACACGTGGTAAATATGGTAAGTATAGAGGCTGCAATAAAACAGATAGACGTAATGGATGGTTCGAGCAAACCATGGACTAAGTTATCGCTCCAGCTCTCATAGGTCGGAAAAACCCTACTAAACTGTTCTTGGAAAACCTCCCTTCAATTGTGGACTGCCAACCCCACTCTCTGTAGTACGCGCTGGGTACATTCTTTAGGACTTGCCATCATTAGAGTTTCAAAGAGAGTCAACTCAACCATCATCATCTACAACGATTGAAGAAGACAAATCCTCTTGAGATAAGCCCTTGAAGACGGCAGTCTTCAAAGTCTTCAAATGGGGAGACGATAACGAAGGTCTTCTTAGACGACGGATGAGAGACGACGAGCAGAGCTGTTGCTGTAGTAATATTGATTCTAATATTCTTATTATTTCTATTCTTTTATCAACCAACGTCGTGTATAATCAATCAGGCTGAGAGAGATCGATCAGCTTAGGTATCCGCTTCTTCTTCAGCGAGCAACATGTTATATGAAACCAGTTGTACGCAGCAATCGTATTTATGCCCTGTCCATACAGAATCCACCTGATGACAGCAAACAGCCAGTAACATCATTTTCCCCGTATAAACAACCGTCTTATTGTGCGAGATTGGAATTTAAATTCGTCTTCAATAAAAGAAAAAGGATGAAGCGTCCGTTGTTTGCCACTCCCTTTTGGAATGCGTCTTGCATTCGATTCCATTCGTACCATCGTGAAAGTGGGTGAATGTACATTCCCTCTTTACATTGGCTGTCTTTGTATCCTTATCAATGATTTTTATTCGCTCAGACAGATCTGAAACCAGTTTAACCCTACAGGGACGGAGGGCGTCGTTTGATGAGGAGTGAGGATAGTGACGAGATCGGACCAACGGCCAGATGTGCACTGAAGGGCACCTCAAAACAACGCGTAGAATGTGATTTTGTTCTTTATTCATCTTTGAATGTGACAAAAATCACCTCCAACTATTACCAATTCTTCTTTCAAATCCAATCGGTATCAGCATTAAGATTAACCATAGCGGAAATGGAAATGATTTCGCTGGAAATGTGCGCGTTCTTTCAAAAGATGGGAACTGAGACGACAATATAGGAAAACGAAGAGAAGAAATAACTGAATTTCTAATCCATCATATCGTCATGGACTTGTTTGTATTTGAGAAAAAGATGAATCGATGAACACAAAATTCCCTTACGTAAAATAATTCGACATCGCTTCTCGTCATTTTCAACCAGGAGAATTTCTCGACTTCATTTATTATCTTAAGATTTCTTGCTTCATTCTCAAAATTCCAAATACAAGCCTGAAAATCTTAGAAATTTGACTCCACGAATAAGAAACGCTAGAAAAATGCTGGATTTTGGTAGTTTTTCCTGTAATACTACGGTATCAATGGAATTGAACTATTGTATTCGTCGTCAATTTAAAATCGAAGAAATACTTTTGCCATGTAATTTATGTTTCCGTTAATCCTCCTGTTTCATATTTAGTTCAAATTCATCATCGCTCTAAAATTTCCGATTCATTGAGTTTCGTTCCTCAAGTGTTTGTCATCATGATGCAAAGCATTGAAATCAACTATTTTCAGATGATGCGATTTGTCGTCCTCTCAACAATGGCCGTAAGTTAATAGATAATATCACATTTTTACTTATTCTAATCTTGTTTCCAATAAGAGATCGCCTCCCAACGGTTGCCGCCTCATCGCGCATGGTGGCCAATCTCTCTCTGATCCAAAATGGCGGCGACTGTCTGTGGTGGTGACGACCTGGGGCAGACTTTGACCAAGCCGATCTTGGGGCTCCAGAGAAGCACAATGGCTAAGCCAGTAGAACCTCGAAAAATGAAGAATATGTTAGGGCCCGCACAACCGGTGAGGATGAGCCGTCCAAGTATCCAAGTAAAAGTTATCAAACTTTCAATGCTTAGAGTGGAAAGTGATGTAAAAGCGTATTTCGCTAACAAGAGCAGCAGTAAAAATACTGTCGAGAAGGAAATACCATAAAAGAATAAGAAGCTCATTCAAAAATGTACCACGCATTAGATTTTCAGGGAAAAATTCTCTCCCATGAATGAGATTTCATCTATTTCACTTGGCGTTTTTAAAGATCGGCTTCGAAAATCCAGAAATGTTCGAACATTGCATAAGAGTCTGGAGACTTCGACTTAGCCATTGTGTTATTCCTTCACAGTTTGTTTGAGGAAATTGAAAAAATGAGAGAAAAGTGTTAATTGTACACCTAACAGAATATAGGCGAGAAATGGTGAATATCTACAGATGATTGGCCGTGTACTGACACAGGATTGTTCATCTCCAGCGAGAACCCGCGAAACATTTGCTAAATATCTGTCATGTATGAAGCAAACTCTCGATGAGAACTACGGACTGTACGAGAATGAATTTCGAGAACATAGCAGGTTCGGATTTTTAATATTTACGGTTTACGGATATCTAAGACAAAAACAAGACACAAGAGCGGCTGCTCTCTACAATGTCGATATGAAACCATTTTGGAGTGATAACGTTCACAGTCTCTTCGCTGCTTCACTGAAGTTGTCCAGTTAGGGAAAAACTAGGAAACTAAAAGTCATCACCTTTCTTTCGATGATTTCCACACCTTTTTCCTTAGTCAACCTTCACATACCTTCAATGCATTGATTTCGCAACATATTAATCGATATGTATTTGCAATCTTTTTCTTTATGAGGCGTTGCTCATTAACACACATCGAATATAGTGAATGTCCACCTTTACCACCTGCCTCTTCTGTTGATCTTCTAGTAACATTAGTGGGCGCCAGTAAACCATCCTTTCTCCTTGTCAAGTGTAGGAATGAGTCAATGGGTCCTGCTCGCTTTAGGTTGAGAATCGCATCCTTCTTGTATGGGTTCTTGTGAGGAACTCGACCATTGGGTCGATGGTCTTTCTGTCGTTCGTGAAATTGCGAGCAATCCACTCACTGACGATTCCAGCCTATCGGTTCTCGTTCACACGCATTACCTGTCCGCCCCAAGTTATCTTCCACACTGTGTCTTATAGAACGGTATCTTTGATTTTTGATAGTTGACGTCGACTGGATTGCTTTCACGGCATGGATTTCATCCTGCTACGTAGCGACCACGTACGCAAGACGTGGGCATACTCAAGGGTAGCTTGCCACTCTCTCCCAAAGCAAAGATGGAGCTTATTTGTTGGAGGCGAATCCTAATTGCCTCCCTTGTACTTCCCTGTTACTTGATTGCAAGCTTTTGGCCGAATTCACTCGTAGAATATAATCTGCATAAACGAGAACATCCCCACGCACGCATGCGCTAATACGCCCTCGTAAATAAGAAAGGTATGTGCCGAATCGGTTCAGCTGAAACAGCGATTCCATCTGCGTCTCAGAAAAGCAAACGTCGCTTTTGGTTCGGGATGAACCACCTCTTGGTCACTTGAGGACGCGCCACGTTACATCGCGACTAACCCGTGAGAGATCCCTCTGTGAGGTAGATCAGTGGTAGTAACGAAATTTATTGCCTGAAATAAGGCCATGATAAATATACTTGGTTGTCCATGCTCTTCTATGGTCAAGCAGCAAGATGGACATTGAAAAAGCCGAAGCAGAACAACGTGGCATCGTCACATATGTCGTTGATCTTGACGGCTTCTTTTGTTTTTGCAACACTTTGTTTTACTACTTTTGAAACAAATGAACTTTTTCCCCCACTGAACCTCTCCAATTAGAGTCCCACCACCGTTTTCAGAAGAGCAGCTCTCACATGCTTCGCCCCTACTATTGAAGAAGGTAATCGGAAAGATCGTTGCGTTCTGAGTGCAAACGATTTGAATCAAGTCGCATGGGATCGGCATGGACCGCTCAGGGATTGCACCCTATGCAGAACGGTAAGCATCCACTACAGATCTCTTTAATTAAGTTATCCGTCACTTCGAACAAAGCAGCGAATAAAGGACACTGACAGCAATGCTTTGACGTAGGCATAGGAATGCTATTAAGTGAGGGGACATAAAGTGTTCAGTGTTGATCAACCCATCAAGATGCACCACGCATTTGACTTCACAATAATGCTGAGGTAGTTGAAAAACTCAAAACCAAAGGTAGATTCAAACCCATGATTACCGTTTTCGAAGTCTTACGTGTTAGTGACTGAGAAAAAAGCATTGCAAAGCCTCAATGGTGTGGTGTAGTGGGCAACACGTGAGTCCCAAGAAAGGGTAATAGCGGACTCGAATCTGGCATAGGATCAGAGTTTTGCAAATATCTCAGCACCATTGCGGTTGTATTTCACATAATACACTGTTATAACGGAAATGGGCAATAAATAGAAGTTATATATTCATTTGTAGAACAGTAGGGACGATTCAATGCATATTTTGTTTAAACAATAGTTTTCTGTAAGTCATGTGCCCATTTTCTGACTTCGCAGAGAAGGAGGATTTGATTTACCATACACAGAACTGAACCAAAGACCACGTGTGTATTGCATGGAATCCCTTGCGCTGCGTGTGGCCATAATATCAAATTTTTTCACACGACCAGTTCTTACGTTCGCTTCCTTCTCTCGAATCCATATTCCACAAAGGCTTTCGGATTTGCGTATGTGTTTTGGTTCTGCTTCAGACCTTCGTCTTCTTATGAATGTCGCTGAATGCTGGTAGATTCGAAATTCCTTGGAGTCTGGAATAGCCATGATACTGCTTCTCCACTTTTTCATCACAGACGCTCGCCAGCTTTTGTGGGTTGGAGAAAGCGAATTGCTCTCAGAAAACTGTTCTACAAATTTCATCGAATTCGGAGGGATCCGGGTTTGGTTGACTTGGAACGGTGTTCAACCGGGACTTTGCTCGTATTGGATACCCTCATTAACCACTACGCTACCTTGTCGTAAACTTAAAGGCGTACAGAACGTGAGAACTCTATAAAGCATAAAAAAATTGCAGAGATGCAGATTACAAAGTAAAATAATGTGACGGATAAAAATAACTGGCTCATGTTGGAAGGAAATACGTCATCTTCATAGTTTATTTTCAGTTTGCTTCCGGAGCTCTCAAAGCGTTTAAATCGACTCCGCCTGAGGAACAAAAGTGCATTCGTACCGAAATGTCGAAAGGTAAGAAAGACTTTATCAATTTTTCTAAGCCTAGTACTTCTTTGGTTTCCATTCTAGAAGAATGTTCTTATCATGAGAATTCTTAACTTATCTTACCTAAAAACTTTCTCCATTATTTTGTTGTCAAAGAATTAAGACATTCATTTCTCAAGTTTTCCAGCAATTGTACGCGAAGCAGACTACTGCGTTAAGAAACAAATACCTGGATTCGTCGGGTTACCTGAATTACCGGACATCGAGGAGAAGTCCTATACTTACAGAGATTCTGTGTATGTGTATTTTAATAGAAATTACCCCTCACAATAAAACTAATACGCTGGCGAATACCAAGTGGCCAAAGAAATCTTGATCTTCCTTTCTTATGCCAATTTACATGGTTATGAAGAGTTAAAGGAACTGCCTATTAACCAATTAATCAAATTTCTCTCATTAGTTTAAAGCATCGAGATTCCAATCCCATAACTATGTCGTTAACAATCCCTTTAAAAATCGATTAACTTAAGAGGGAACCAGTAAAGTAAACTCAATTCGATCTTAGAAATGAAGTGCCATAAGCACCACGCTAGCTTTGTTCGCTCAGGAGACACGGGATACACCCATGTCGAACTTGTTCTCAGGATCTTTAAATGATATCAGTGGGGATGAACTCAAGCTGTAGATCGTAGCCCGACATCGAGGCACATCCCCGTTAACGATTGGAGGTAAACTATTGGAACGACTCATTTTCATAGAGATCTTAGACCTGCAGTAACACATTTGCTATCAATCAGCGGCGTTGATTAACTCAAGCACTAGATTTTACATAGAATTGAAATTGTAATCAATTTTGGATTTTCGCTCCTAAGTTCAAATGCGCTTTCTGTCCGCCTACAATTTCATTCCCGTTTTGAGTTCGGGTGTAGTGCAGGCGTAGCCAAAGAGTTCGAGTTCTCTCCACTCTTGAATTTATCCTTTTTATTTCATTTGAATCGAACCACCGAATCATCCTCGACCATAGTACCCGCGTCTGGTGATATACAGTTAAGAATGGTGAACTTTTTTTCAGGATTACTTCTCTCTCCAATCATATTATCATCCTTTCTCGTCTGAGTTTCTGTAAGGAACGCAAACCCACTCGTGCAGCAAACACCAACAGCTGCCTACGTAAACCGTTTCCCGACTATCTCAGTGAACACTGTAAAGGTAGCCTTTCATTATTGGTGTTTCCCTTTTTCTCATCAAAAGCTCAGAAAGATTTATACTTTTTCCTGAAAAGAGACACTCTGCACATTTGTAATTTCTATGACCACAAAATGAGTCATTGCTGAGATTGACTATTTTGATCGCTTTCCTAAGATTTGTAACGCACTTTTTTTTTGGTCATAGATAAGTTCTTATTGAAGAAAATCCTAAGACCGACTTTCCCAACTTCGGCATCGATCAAAAATTCATTGTTTTTTAGCATGAAGTCGTTGTTACAACATCTATTAATTCATAATAGGTGACCTATCGGCGGTTCCGTCTTGTTCATAGGTCGGAATGCTTAAATTGACACGCAATCTACTCAGTCAAACACTTTCCTAACCTCAGCAGGTAAAAGTTATGAGGTTATTAAACTGTTTGGCTGCAGGTTATGAAAGACTGCATGCCAGTTTAACCTCTCCAGGCTTTGAAGAAGGCGAAACCGCCGAAACGGCACCTTTTTTCTTGAATAAAAATTAGAAGAACAAACTCATGTTTCCCCGTCAATAAAAACAGTGAATTAATCCTTATATTCTTGTTAAATGACTGTTTGATAATTTTTATGAGTGTTAGAAAAGTACATGTGTAATTTAATATTTATGAATTTACCCTTGGCAATCATTAGCTCTTCCGGTACAACGCAGACCTTTGCCAAAATCTTCTCCCGTTTACGCTAAAATAATGAATTTCAGCAAAAGTGAAGAACTATTCGCCCGATAGCGCTAACTGTGTCGACTTTCTCTGTGTGACAATTTCGCACCCGGATTTTATCTAAATGGAAACAAAGCTAATTAAGGAGATGAACACCAATTCATCACTACCACCTAGAGCGCATTCGGCTGCTCTAAACAATCATTACGAAATTAACAAAGTCACCAAAGATGCATGAAAGAAGAGGGATAAAGCTTTATGCTATGCATTCGGCTCCATTCGTTAGATCGCAGAGCTGGTTGAATATTTGGTCTATATGGCTTTACACGAGCCCGAAAAGTAAATTTTCTGACCAGCTGGATCCAGATCTACTACATCCAGTCCCACTATTAGCACTTCTACATAAGCGTATCGCTGTGGAACCACTTTTCAAGAAAAGTGCCACCTGGAGCGAAAAGCTGTTTACTGATGTCAATAGGTAGTGAAGAAAACAGTGACTGGTGCCATATGGACCCCTCTCAACTACACCCACGTCAAAATTCCGCTTTAAAATAGCATAAACACTAAATTAGCTAGGCCTAAGGAGCTTTGCTGAAGATAGATCATTTTTGGAAATTGAAAAGATACGTTTCCACAACAGAGCCAGGCCAGTCCTCCCATCGCGGAGGCCAACCATGTCCAATGTAGCCTCATTCACCTAAAAGCTCAGGAAACTCTAGGGATGATGTTTTTAGGGTAAAGGGAAACTTCCAAGTATTGATCAGTCCTGTATACATCCTCCCAAAGGATCCGATACTGATTTCCCCACCTCAGAGGGACAGGCATTAACACTGTTTGACCTGGACATGAGATCGAACCAATGTATTGCAAGAAACCTCTAAATACTGCGCTATAGATGAAGTTTCATAGCAGATAAATAGAAGAAATTCTGGGACCTGCATGCTATTTGAGAATGAGTCATCCAAACCGACTGAAGTGAATGGCGGCTGGAGTCGAAACCAATATGACATCAACTACGACTTACGTCTGGTTCAGTCGAACTCGTTTAGTGTTGGCATTAAATGCTCGGATGTTTTCTCTTCTTTCGAAATCTTCTTCCACAAAAATGTTTATACTCGAAACTTCGCCTCAGTTTGCAGTATTTCATCCAACATATGGTTTTAGTTGATCGGTCGATTCACAATAGAAATAAAAAAAGAAAAAACACCTCCACTTTGGACATGGGGGCCCATTTTGCAGTAGAACTAGTTTTACCCCTCCGCTGACAATAAAACATAATCGCCGCAACGGACGAGATGCCGATGGATTTTATGCAAGTACTGACGAATATGTGAAAGCTTCCTATACGAAAACACTTGAACTGAACTTAAAACTTCTTAAGTAAATTTCTTAAGCCCCTATACTTAAAACTTCTTGCACACTTTCTCTAGACAATTTGGCTGATATGAATTGATTTCAATTCATTTAAGCTATATATACACATAGGTCTGCCAATTTCTCATTTTGTCTACTTCATTGCTTACAAAAAAGTGATCGGAAGCCAAAAAACACTGGGCACCGTACCGTATGAATTGAAGGCGGAGTTGCTAGAATTTTTTTAGAAGAGGTTCCATCAAAATTTTTCCAAAATTTAACAAAGTTTGGCAGAAACGCCACACTGGCTCCAAACTGGTAATAACTAGAAAGTTAAAGAGAAAATTTTCCATGAAACAAATGAAATATAGTGAAGTTTTCATTTGTATCAAACTAAGGGGAACAAAAAACTTGAAATTTAATCTGATATGGTTTAATTTGATAAACAAAGCAATAAATCATAACGGTTTCTCACCACGGATTCTTCCACATGATGATGGATGGTTCGCAGACGGGCCAATTAGTGCTGGAGCTACGTAATGCGGCCGGAGGTTCTAGAGAGGTTGTTAGGCACAGACAAAAATCGGTCATTTACTTACGTCTGCGACGTACAAGGAGATCCAGTAGATGAATTCCTTGTCGCTGTTGGGCTCAACTCTTCATACACAATCTTATTAGTGAGTGCTTTCTGTAGGTGTATATAGTAGTTGATTGAGGATATGCATGTGGTCGTTCGTTGAACTCATCGCAAACGAAACCATCCTTCCGGCAAATTGTCACTAAGCATGGGCTTGTGGATAAAAACACTCTTCGTATGTCGGTGCTTCTACACAAGTCAGTCATATAAGCCAGATATGAATTCGACTACCGCTAGGATGGTACGAGTAGAATCGAATGCATGCCACATTCCGAAGGGATTGATCAAAACCGAACACTTTCTTCCTTGCTATCCTTTATACAGCAAGTTGATCAGGTTAAACATGAATTAAGGGCGTATCCACGACAGTTCATGACCGTCTCCAACAAATAGCCCACCCATATACTAGGGCACTGCTCGACAACTACACCTATATCATCCATTTAATAGACACATGGCTCACAAGCCACCCGCCGTTATTTAGTCATAATCGGTCCATGGAGCGGTGAATGGGCGGTTTTGGTAGCAATATATGCCAGTAGATGCTTCATTAGTAAATCAGTCGATGATTAAAAGATTAGTAGATGGTCTAGGTGAACGATATCATCATTCACAGAGATGCTAAACATGGAAGAATAAGAGGAAGATGCTATAACTTTCTATAGAAAAGACGAGGAATTATAGAATATAACTCAAGCATTATTGTCTGTATTGAACACTATGAAGAAAAGTTTCTGATACATAATTCATCCTTCAGTGTTCACGAAATGCGATTCGCTTATTGCCGTTGGATCATGTGCCAGGACGATTCCACAGTCTCGAAAGGCCATGTGCCAATGTATCAATGGAGCCCGAGATGAGCTGAAGTCGAAAATCGCCTCCATCTACAACGTACTCAACGACGTTCGTTTCATCAGTGTTATTCTAATTATATGATTACTCGCATAGAAACTCTTGTAGTACACGAGACTTCATTCAAGTGGTAAGCGAGTGCAAAGAGATTGGTAGCCTTTATAAATTACCAGATTTCGTACCTACGCGAAACCCTTTTTGACTTTTAATTTCTAAGGAAACCTTGCGAAACTTCCGTAACAGAAGTCTACATGTAGAATTTCCCGTCAAACAGGGTACAACCCTTATCAGTGTCGTGACGTCGTTTAGTTTATCCAGAACTTGTCCATTTTTCAGAAAACGAATTCTCTGCAATATTTGTCCCAGTGAGTTCACTAGATAGAGAACGCTCTACGCCACATATTTCCCTAAAAATGATAGATTTCACGAGAAACCATAATTGTTTCAAATTTTCCAAAGTCCATCTATTTCTAGTTGCTCACTGGTCGTGGAGCAACTGCAATCGGATCGTCGAACAAAGTAGACATCTGCGTCAATAACGTTAAAAAGCAAATGTAGGTTTTTTTACAACAGTATCTACATTCCATCATTTCCCAGATGATCTGGCAACACATGCTGTGTGGATCTAAACACTTCCTTTATTTTATTCGTAATTCCACGGCCGTCACCCACGAGAGCTCTGCGGGTGACCTCGACTCTTGTCTGACGATTTTGACTTCCTCATTAACGTCAGTGAATGCTAATTGCGTCGAATCATTTCTCCCTGGACTTCTAAATACCCATGCTATGGTATACTCAGATCTTCATAACAAGCAGTTTTTACAACTTAATCCTGTTCTGACTTTGAACCAGGGCATTGTGAGTGTTAAACGACGGGACCACTGCTACTGTTCTACACTCTGCTCCATGGTTGCACATATTGTCAAAAAAAATTGTTTTAGGGTCACAAGAGCCAACGACTGGGCTTCCGTTATTGATTCGGCCATCAACACTTGTGTAAGGAAGCAGCAAGGACAGAACCTCGGCTTGGACGCAATGCTTAACGTTGGATGCAGAAAGGTATATTTACGAACATAGTCACTGCAATATTTCAAAAGCGACTTTCCTTTAGCATCGTTATTACTAATCAACACGTATTCTTTCTTTGGTGATCTTACACGGGGTTGATATGCAGTTTTACTCGGTTAACTTTTCGGCGTCTTCGTCTTCATTAGAGCCGACGATCCGAACCAATAGTCCACTGTTCTTCTTCGTCTAGATGTGGTATCTTCGCATTCGTATCAAGTTGTGTCTTCCTCAGCGGACCATCTCTCGAATGAAAGATACTGAATCGAAGAAGAACGGGGGACTACCGATTCGGATCTCGGCTCTGATAATGACGAAGACTTCGAAACATTAGTCGAATAGAACTATTTATTAACATCGTTTAAGCTCATCAAAGAAGGAATGTTTAATAATCACTACACTTTACTTGTGCGTAGTATAGTTAGTTGGTATAGTTCCCAGGATCGACTTTCTATTAACTTCGGCATTAGAATATGAATGCGTCGTTTTCTTGTTCAGCAATTGCGAGGTTGTTTAGTCGCTATACTATACTACAACTTCAAAGAAGATATTTATTTATAACAGCGAGACTGTTCAAAGTTGAACATTTCTCGAGTAAAGTAAAAGTTCACAAGTTTTCTCCACTGATTGAAACCCATGATGACAGAGTACCAGATGATTGTTTATGGTGAGTAGGTTCAATTTTTTTTTGCTGTTATCCCAACAATTTGTGCAGAAAAGCTCCTACATTGACTGGATCTAGCTTTAGCCTATTTGGCATATTTTGTAGCATATTTCGAATCTTGTATTAGTGGCTCAGTGGAGCGTGGGTCTCCGAGTCAGTCTTCAGCACCGAATAATTTCTTCCTCGAAGTAGAATGCTTGAGTTTGGAGATTTTACCACACGGGACTTTTTGATGTTCCCACAGAGCACAATCTCAGGCTTCGGTTGTAAGCATTTATGGGAACAATGGCAATAGAATCGTAACCTTTTTATTCACTTCCTATTCTCTTTAACGGCAAGGTATTTTGCGAAATAAAATAGACAAACGAAACGAAGGACCCGCATGGTATGGTGGTGAACTCTCCGGAAAGAACAATAGCGCGTTCGTTCCCCACCGCAAGCACCTGTGGTCCGGAGTTTCGCAAATATCTCAGCATTATAGTAATGGCAATAGAATTATAGGAAGAGGTATCCAGAAGAGTAAGGAATACGAGTGTCACGACGAAGATGGAGCCTGTAAGAGCACTTGTTGAGCGACCTAACTGAGCGAACGAAGTGGGGTGACTAATATTTCCTTTTATGATTCTTCTGAGGGTGGCCTGTTGCTAGTTGTGCAGGTTGGTCTTCCACGGAGTCCTAACTTAACCTTCCAAGCGCGTATCCAGACCTTCACCAGGATGCGGATCCGATGGAGGTATCTTTTCGGCAACGAATCTTTCACACGGCCTTCCATGTAGTTGACTGGCAGACGATACTAAAACCGAAATCAGAAACGAAAGTAGGAATGAAAAAATGACCGGTCACTCAAGGCCGATATAGAAGACAACTGAAGGACCCGAAAATCCGCTCTCACCTTTTCGATTCAACGGTCCTTCCAACGCTCTGTTATGTTGCTGAGACGCGGGCTGATACTTCAACCACGTCAAGAATATTTCGCACTACTCACAGAGCGCTTGAGCGATGTCTTCTGAAATACAACTGGCACCCTCAATTTTTAAATGCAAAGCTCTGATCTTCGAAATTTGTCACATATTCGGAATCCAGAAGAATACACATCGATAGCGAAACGTATGTGCCACTATAATCAAATAAAATCACCACCATAGAGGAGTGTGAGGGAAATAAACGAATAGTAAATTTGCTGGGGTCCGCACAACTAGTGAAGACGGACCGTCCAAGTATCCAAGTAAGCATACATATTCAGTAATGGGTGGAATTTTGATGGAAAAAACTAGGGATGGTGTTCAAAGGGAAATTCTAGAAGCTTCTCGGTTAGTACAATTTGAAAGAGCAGCTTCAAAGGATGACACGGCACGGTACTTACAGAGAAGTACATCAGATAAGATGGTATACAAAAAGCTTCGTTAAAGTTGACGTTCATTAGAAAGCGATGGAATAGCTTGCGTATAAAGTTGATTTGATCGTGGAACGGAAGACGCAGAAAAGCATATGCAGCTGACAGCTGCTCATTCAGTGCCCGAACTATCGGACAAAGAAGAACAGTTCTTATAAAGAAGTCCAAAGCAGCTGCATGAGATGTCTCCAGTAAGAAGCAATTTGTAGAAAGTGAAAGGATAAATGTGGTTACCAGTAAGCATAGTTGATATAGGAAACATACGCTAATATAGAATTTAGGAACTATTCGGCGAACAGTTACTATACTCTCAGTCACGACTTAAGATATAGATAAATTGGAAATTGTAAGAAAACAAAGGAAAAGAAATCGTTCTTTTGCCTTGAGGAGTGTTTTGAGGGCTGCAATATGGGCTGGCGTGAAGGATGCATTATGGACGCATATAGCGCAGCGGTTAGAGGTGCTCTACAGTACGCATGGGATCAGTCCAGTGTCAAAGGCTCACCAAGCCTTCCATTTCTCCCGGGTTGGCAAATCGGTTCCAGACCGGTTTAGGAGGGTAGCAGCATTGACTCGATACATCGGTAGCACGTTATTACATAGGCTAGGTATGCGTTAAATCACCTGTAATGATACTTGATAACGTCGAATGCATCCGTATCCCTCAGAAAGTGATCAACGTCAAGAGTTTTATCTTTTTTAAGATATGATGCAGAAATGCTTACGTCTACTAGTGCGTTTCCGCCTCCTTCTTTGATCTTAGTGTAGGTGCAGACCTCTTTTTCGCACCCTCATCATCTTTCTCATTAGCTCGTGCTTTCGTTAGATAAGCTGATTTTTCGTTCCTCAATGCCACGATTCCTCGCGATTATGAATGCCTGTGGTTGTAGAGTAGAAGCAGGAGTTATCGGCGAGTGTTTGAGATGGTGGGAAGCGATAATGACTAACTTATCGATGAGCATAGTTAATGGCTTTTTTACGTGTTTTTGCTGTCATAAAATTTGGAGCTTGGTGCTCGTGTAAGCTCTCCACTCCCTCTGCACGGCAGCTGTGTCAGCTACTTCTTCAAAAAAAGGTTGACTGTTTTTTGCTTTCCTAGAAGCCTACGTATGCAGTTATGAGGATAAAATAGCTATGGTTATCTGGGAGGAGGAGTATTGTGGTAAAAAAAGGTGTCCTAGAAGGGTAAGGAATTGCTACTCTAGTTAAAGTGTTGGGAATTGTGGCTAAACTACTATAGTGTTAATTGCGTCATCGTGAAGACTTAGTTCTTTCGTGGGTGAGTAGTTGTTGTGTAGTTCCAGGCCAACTCTTTTTTGTTACTAGGACCTGTTTGCTGTTTCTTTTTCTATGCAGCATGTACGCTGTTTCATACAGCCGCAAGCGCTTTAAATCTTGTTCCACAGAGGCCGTATATTATTTTGGAGTCAAATGCTATTTTTAATATTCAAATTAGGAATTTCAGCATCTTGGTTATTCCAAGGACACCGGCCGATAGTGTTCCTAATTTGATAAATTCTACCCATGCGACTGATATTACATGGGATTCTGATTCTATGTGCTCGTCTGCTATTTATTGACTTACTCTGACATTATCTATTCGGGGTTGATCGCTCATGATGCATTTGATTACTGTATTTCCCACTGCCTGCCAATCTACTGGGAACACTAATTGACCAACCGTTGCCTCTACTCTTCCTGCTAATATATCCCTCCCATGGCGAACAATTTTTGTGTGCTGTATGCGAAGACGTCTTCTCGGGTTAGACACATTGCGTCGGTCGGAAATCTATGACACCATAGTCACAAGAACTGTAAAACAATGCATAGAAAAATAAAATGAGTGGAAACACATGAATAAACCAAGCTATGGAGCAAAAAAGTAGAAAGTAACAGTATGGTCATTTCTAATCAGGGATAACTCACCTTGCATTGATTTCGATGCGCATAACGACCTGCCCTAAGAAAAAAGCTACGGCCCCTCGACACAGCAACCCAAAACTAAGCGTGATCTTAAACTGGTAAAAGCCAGAAAATTCAGTTTTCCTCAATAAGCATTCTTATCTTATAATATTGAGGAAGATATGGAAAACAAAAGTACATTTGCAAATCTTGGCTAAGTTCATAAAACGAGGCCGTTAGGAACATAATTAGCGGATATTTCGTCACAAAATCAGTTGAAGACCTCCATATGTTTAGGTGTTCGCTGATACCACCGGCACTGCTACTTCTCAGATGAAGATAGCATTTGACTTCATTAACAACCTTATCGACGCATTGGTGGAGCGCAGTGGACGCTTCTGTGGAGATCAGTGTGTTAAGTCTTAACTTCATCTGTTGAACGATTACGTGTGATTTGAATGACTTTCCTACGTTTGCAAAAGATTCACGTGTTTAAACCACTCGTGCATTTATTTAGCAATCCTTGTCATAAATTAATTCAACTCATCTATGAAGTGCAAACTAGTCCTGCTAAGGCATTCATAATATCTGATAACAATACGTCAATATAACAACTTAAAAAGTGGGTGCAAATGTTCAAGTTAATGCATATCGAGGTCTTATATTTCGTCAATTCTGTATATCTTCTCCGCTGCTGTGAACCAACCTTCGTACGCTACAGTGTCTGGCGTTGTGTCATAGTAATAGTGTCCTAAACTACGGAAAGAATACATTTTCTAGAAAGATTAAAAGAAAGCGGTTTAACCCATTGACGACGAATGGTGTTCAGCCCGGTTGTACCTCGGAACGACGCCAAATTTTTCAGCCCCTATGGGGTTTGATGGTTTTTTCACAATAAATAATAATTTTTCAACAAAGAGAGAGGTTGAGGGATTGTTAATATGACAAAACTGTAGAAAAGAATTTCCTCCATCGCGCAATGGGGCTGAATTATATGCTAATATGCTCCTACTAAGTACTACGTATTACTATAATCAATCATCCAAACACTTTCCTATGGACATTTGGAAACGTCTTGCAGCTTATTTTGAGTCCATTTCGCTACTTTTATGCCCACACATTCCATAGAATAGACATGTTTTATTAAGGGATTAAAACGAATTAACAGCTAATTGTGTCGTTCTCTTTTTCAGCAATCGTTTATTTCCTTACAGAAATAACACATGTAGGTGACGCTTCGGCAGTATCGCCTTCTTCAAACCCTGGAAGGTACNGGAAAGAATACATTTTCTAGAAAGATTAAAAGAAAGCGGTTTAACCCATTGACGACGAATGGTGTTCAGCCCGGTTGTACCTCGGAACGACGCCAAATTTTTCAGCCCCTATGGGGTTTGATGGTTTTTTCACAATAAATAATAATTTTTCAACAAAGAGAGAGGTTGAGGGATTGTTAATATGACAAAACTGTAGAAAAGAATTTCCTCCATCGCGCAATGGGGCTGAATTATATGCTAATATGCTCCTACTAAGTACTACGTATTACTATAATCAATCATCCAAACACTTTCCTATGGACATTTGGAAACGTCTTGCAGCTTATTTTGAGTCCATTTCGCTACTTTTATGCCCACACATTCCATAGAATAGACATGTTTTATTAAGGGATTAAAACGAATTAACAGCTAATTGTGTCGTTCTCTTTTTCAGCAACCGCGAGGTTGTTACTCAGCACTCGTTTATTTCCTTACAGAAATAACAAATCCAACACAACAGTAGGTGACGCTTCGGCAGTATCACCTTCTTCAGATCCTGGAAGAGCACACTAATACGCAACTTACTAGATCAAACACTTCAACAGCACAAACAGAAAGATGAAAATCTAAACAATAATTACACGATCACCGGCTTCTCGAAAAACCCACCGTTTTCTAACCTGCCTTCCACCCAGGAAGAACAGCTGCTTAGCGTCGTATATGGTTGATGACTGCAACACCCCTCATCAAAAAGCAATTTTGAAATACGGAGCTAGACCATGTGATTGATATCTCTGAGCATTCTTCCATGCTATTCAGAATGAATATTCAGTAACAGGGAAGAATGCCCAGAGATAACACGTAATCTAGCCCCGTATCTCAGAATTTCTTTCTGATGAGGGGCGATGCAGTCATCAACCATATGCGACTCTAGGCGGCTGTTCTTCCTGAGTGGAAACCATAAAAACGGTGGGTTTTTCGAGAAGCCTGTGATCATGTAATTATTGTTTAGATTTTCATCTTTCTGTTTGTGCTGTTGAAGTGTTTGATCTAGTAAGTTGCGTATTAGTGTACTCTTCCAGGATCTGAAGAAGGCGATACTGCCGAAACGTCTGCTGCCGTTGTGTTGTATGTTTTATTTATGTAAAGAAATAAACGTGTGCTGAATAACAACCTTGCGATTGCTGAAAAGACGAACAACACATTTATAAGCCAATGCCGAGGTTAATAAAAAGTCGAGCTTGGGAACTGTTAACAGCTAACTATTAATCAAAATCCAATTCCTTTGTGTTTTCGTTCGTTGCCTTACTTGTTTCGCTGATTGATCTTAGTCGAAAACACTCTTTCAAAAACTTACTTGATACTTGGTACTTAAATGGCCCGTCCGCACTAGTTGTGCGGGCCCCAGCATAATCTCTACTTTTCGGAGATCTGCTGGCTAAGCCATTGTGGTTCTCTAGAGTCCCGAGGTCAACCTGGCCAAAGCCTGCCTCAAGTTTTCATCACAACAGGCAGTCGCAGCCCTTGTGCATCTGAGGGAGATTTGCCACCATGCGCCTTTGATACCAAAACGGTGTTGGATCCTGGTATTGGTTTTCTTTCAAAAACACCTTTTGAGTTGTCGCCCAAGATGTTTGTATCCACTACGAGTTAGTCCAATGCTCTCCTCGTCTATCTGTCGGCGTATGTCCATATCATAAGATCTACCCATGCACATTTCGCCTTCGACGTTTGTCTGAATCTCGAAAACTACATATTCTTCGAACGCCTGAACTAGTTAACCTGACTTTATATTATGTTATATGCCTTGTTTCAAAACCTTCAAAAACGACCGTCTAGGTGCTTTTCAGTGTGGTGCCCGAAATTCTCGTAGCTGTTGATGCACTAAGTCTTGTAACAATCGTTTCACGCGGATGCACTGCTAACGGTTGAGCAAAAAGACGAACGTGCAGTTATGGCTATATGAAATAATCGGCGCCATCTTTATGAAGTCCTGAAGGGGTCTACGCTGCATTCCTTCCAACGCAATTCTTCATTCATGTCTATGCTTGTTCATGTTTTCCATGTGCACTGAATGCCTTATATCAGATAAAATATAGTTTTTTAAATCAGTATTTCGTAAAACTTCTCATTCTGCTTGCCATTCAGGTGTCCCAAGCGTACATTAAGCGTCGTAAATTCCCGGAGTTAAAAGCGTAGAACAGGTTTCTCTTTGTCTTCTCCAGTGAATCCTCAACGCCTTTATGTCTCCAACACTCCGGCCTTCTCATCCTCAGCTCAACAACTAAGTCGTCCATTATACTCAATTCCTCAATCATGCACACAAACCTGTAGCATTTAGAGGTGCAAAGAACAAATCCTTCTTGGATTATTAGGCTAACACGCGGATAATCAAAAAGATTCATCCAACTATCGTTTTTATATATTCGTCTTCTTCAGTACCGAACTGAATAGAGTCGACTCCCCACAGTCGTTCATCCTCGCGATGTGGAGTCTTCATTGTCGCATAGAGTCCAATTCGCTGAACTGGGGCACAGCTTGAATGAGGAAACCTTACTGGTGGGTGCCCCACTTTTACGTAGAACGGATGCTGATCTATTGCGGTCATTTAATACAATCTGCTTTTTGGCAGGAATGGATGCAGAACTCGGTGTTATACTCTGGCATATCTCATCAAACATCGGCTACTACAGTCGTTTTTACTAAAAAGCAGATCATTCTAGAAGGAAGCAACAAACATCCGTCCTGTATTAAAAGGTCGTCGTCGAGTTTGGTTTTTTCATTCAAGCGATGCTTCATTCCAACGGATACGACTCCATGCGACAACGAAAACCCATATCGTTAGAACAAGAATCTGTAGACCATTAATCCGGCTCCGAATAGATCTTTTTATACCAACCTCGGGTTAGATAATCTTGAAAAGTATTGGTTATTTTTGCGAAAGCTTGATGCAAGTCGGCTTTTGGGAAATAAAACCACTCCTCATGAATACAGTTTCATGGGTATCTCATCGAAAACGGACCTTCCTCTAGCCCTTATTCAAATCGCCCATTTCATTTACCTAGCAAATTTCTAAGATAATAAAAACGGTGCCATCAACGAAGAGAAGATGGTGGTCGTCGATTTCCAGTCCCATAATATCCCATTCCAGTTTTTGAGTAACGTTCTCCAGAGCATTTGTAAATGATTCTAGTGAGAGTGTATCGGAATGTTGAGCTCCTCCATTTACGTCAATAATAATGTCGTTTCGAATGGCCAATTAAAGGTTGTGGAGTTGTGTTTAACTAATGAATGTGTGTAGCCCACCATGCAAATGCATTGTTGTCACCATTTGGGAGTATTTTGCATATATGTTAAGCCTATTTCCTTTCCAATGGTTTACGTCCTCATCATGGCTTGGATGTATTCCTCGGTGTCGGGCTGCGATGTACACCGGGGGAATTCATACCTCCAACAAGTTCTCCCAAGTTGAGGAGTCCGGCGTTTCCATCAGGAAGCCAGCCAAGAGCAAACCAACACCGGGATCCACCGTCCTGGTATCAAACTAGTCGTATGACAAATCTCCCTCTGATCCACAAGGGCCGCTACTACCTATGCTGGTGAGGTCCTGGGGCAGACTTTGGTTACGTTGATTTAAGTACTCCAGAGAAATACAATGGCTAAAACAGCAAAACTTCGAGAAAGTGAAAATTATGCCGGGGTCCGCACAACCAGTGAAGACGGATGATCCAAGTATTCAAGTATCCAAGTTGAGTCTATTTCGGTGTGTTTTATATCTGCACATTCCACACAGTGACCACAAAGAATAAAATGGAACGACAGCTAATTTTTAGTCACACTAGTGGTCAAAAAACTTTTTCGAAGTCTTTTTTAAACGACTAAGTGTACAGCGTGGTTTTTCTGGTCGTACTATTATTATTTTGATCCGCTTTCAATTAGCTATCGCATGAATACGCAGAGTGCAGTGAAAATCTGAACTGCACTAGACCAAAATGGACACTGTAGTGTCCATACCGTCTCTCCCGGTCCAAATGCTCATGAACACTATACTGTGCATACTAGGCGTTATAGGTTAGAGGGACCTATTAAAGAGTACTGTTCCACATCCAGCACTCTTTTTGACCATTGGCATTTAATACGAATGGTTGACACTTTGAAGCTAAACGATGTTGAAATATTCGTAAGACTTGGACCCTGGGCCAGAACGAACCACGATTACTCTTTCCAAGGGTTCGCGTATTACATACTGCACCACTGACTCTCTTGCTTTGCGTTTCTCTCAGCTAAAAGCAAAAAACTCACAGCAAGGGCCTGAGTGGTGGAACGTATAATACGCGAGCTCCCGAAAAAGGTAATAGTGAGTGGATCTGGCTCAGTGTCCAAGTTTTGCGAATATCTCAGCATCGTTGCGGTTATATTTCACATCATACTCCGCCGTGAAAAAGTGTAGTAGGCAGCAAATAAAAGGTTAACACTGTCATTACATATAAACAACAAACGAAACACTAACCAGCGTCTCCATGACTTGAATAGCAATGAGTATGTTCCATGCGAAGCTTGTGTCCTGGATCATAAGAATGAAACACAGATGCACACACGAGAGGCGCCTTCATTGTGAAGAACTGTAGCCATTTATCAACCTAAACGACAAATCACTAGTGAATTTTCCTCGACTAAACTTTTTTTCAAACCTAATCGAGAAGAAAATAGTAACTCAACTACTATTACTGTCTCTTCGAAGATGTATATGGTACTCGCAACACACTACTTTTGCAGCAAATTCTTTTAAACTTCGAGAATCAAAAAACGAGAGTTCCACTCGAAAAATTTGAAATTTTGACACAAGAACCACGGTTCTGATGAGGCCTTCTAGGACTTCCCTGAGTAATACTGTTGAAAGAAACTCCGTTTGTCTAGCGAGTTCGCTGGTCTAGAGATGAGCATCAAAGGAGAACGAAAAAGTCGAGAAATTTTGTGAAATGTATAAAAATTTCCCCGACCTAGAATAACAAAACATGTAAGATGAAAAATAGCAGCAAATTCTAATGGATTCTACAGAAATTGATAAAGCCCACATCTGAGATTTGATTGTTTAAATTTCAAACAACAAACTACTTCCAAATTATACATGATGATGCATTGGAACAAATTCACATCGGCGAAAATGTGTGAAGAAATCGCAAAATGTTAGCTAGACTGCTACAAATGTACAATCCCGTTGCAAACTAGTATTTGGAAACATCAAAATAACGTAACTTCTACTCACCGCTTATTCTTTTTTCATGGCTGGATACGAAGTGAACAACGACCACAAGAATGCAAACTTCAAAACGCAGGTCGCTCCAGATCATTCCGCCGATGGAAGATTGCTGATGGCACAGATAGAATAAAAAAATGGCCCAGAAAAATGCAAAGCAACAGCTTCGGTTGGCATGATCGCTACCACAAGAGCCCCTGGAAAAGATAATCGCGGGAAGTCCACAGAGTTTCCGAGTTCTGCTCATAGCTCCCCATCCTTTTAGTTGCATATGAAAATAGTTATAAACCAATCCTGTCCTTTCTATGAAACAGCTACCTTTAGTATACAAAGCTGAACGTGAACTCGAGATACATTAATGAACAGTGAGTTAAATGCAGTAAAGTCCCTATTAACGATAAAGGATGACGATTCCGCGTTGATCGATCCTTGAAGGATATACCATCAATCGACTTCATTAGGCATCGTTGAAAGTGACGAGATGCATATCTGACCAATACAATTATTTGCGGTGGCCTACCGATCTATTAACACAGTGCTGAAATCTTCCCAGATAGATCTGATACCAATTTGCCGACTCCGGTGGGATGGAGGACTTCATGAGTCTGGGGAGCGGGAGCGGTTCCATGTGTATTACAGAATGTCTTCGACCACTGTGCCACAAACGCTCAAGGTCGCTATAAGTTACCACTAATACGAAAAATATGGAGCTAAAGAAAAGAAAGCTTCACCGCACCCATCACTATATCAAGAAAGACTCTTGGTATTATGTCGAAGTATGTTTAATCAATACAACCGATTTGTCAACTCTAGTTCCCTTTCCCATTCGTCATCTCAAATCTGCAGAATTAGGCCCACAAGAACTTTGCTCTTCGGTTTACAATAACTTCCCTTTGACCTCCAAGCCTTTAGTTTCATATTATGTACATAAACCACCCACCGGTTTACCGCCTCATCGTGGCTGGGAGATGTTCTTGGGTGCCGAGCTGCGATGTACAGCTGGGAGATTTATTCCGCCGGCAGGCTCCCCAAGCAGAGAAGTCCGGCGTTTTCATCGTCAGGAAGCCCAACTAATAATAAACCGAATCTATCTTGAAGCTAAGGAATGATTTTAAAAACTAAACTAACTTCTTCAGCTGAACTGAACTGACAACCAGGAAAATCAGGCATAATGTGCAATTTCGCCTCACCTTCTCGAAGCAAGAAAATCCCAGCCAAAGATACGCACCTATCATTGTGTCTATGATCAAAAATAAAATGTGGTAATGCTTAACAGCTTAATAGAATTCTAAAGCATACCTTTCGCCGTAATGCTTAACGAGCGCTTTCCGTATGGTTTCGGGAAAGTTGTCTTTTCCGATACGTACCGAATATTTACAATGTACTAAACGACAAAACGAAAAAAGTAAGGGCCGAAAAGCGTTAAGAATTATGTAATGAAATATCAGCATATAACGACGCTGAGATGTTTGCAAAGCTCTGGACCGCAATTGTTTGAGTGGGGAACATACGCGCTATTACCCTTTCCGGGGGCTGGTTCCTTCGCTTCGCCCATCTCTCAGCTAGTATTCTACGTACAAGTGCTGGTATCAGCAAATACGGAATAAAGGATAGAGCTCTCGGCGTTGATCAATTTCTGAGGAATGCGCCATACATTCGACTTCATCAACCACCGCTTGGAGGTGACTGGATGCATATCTGGCCTTTACAACGACATGCAGTGGGCTACCGATCTGTCGAGCCAGTGCTGCTATCCTCCCAGAGAAGTCTGGTACCAATTCTCTGACCCCGGAGGGATGGAAGGCTTGGTGAGCCAGGGGCGCGAAAAACGGTTCCACGTGTGTGTCGAAGTGGCGCCTCCAACCATTGCGCCAGACGGGCCCAATTTCTATTAGCATATATACAAACAAATCAAAAACAGATACATTGTAATATGGACAACAGTTATGAATGAAACGTTTAAAGAATCAACGTACCCACTTCTCCAGACCCAGGTTCCGACATTGCAAGATTTGCCATTAGATTGAACTTCGGAGAATCTATAACATCCATTTTGTAGGGAGGTGAATGGCCAGGAGGAAGTGAAGCTATTTTCGTTGCCACCTAAACATTGGATTTAGTGATTTTACTAATCAAAAGATTGATAAGGATGACCCTGCATATTCGAGTCCCTGAGTGATTCGAACAATTTGAGGGTGAGCACTGTATAAAGCCTATTGCTGTTTCTCCCTACTTATGCTTTGTTGAAAGGGCGCGCGTGGCGCAGTTGTCGGAGATGCCCTGTGATGCACATGGGATCGATCCCCGTGCAAAGGCTCACCATGCGTGGTTCTTCCAACGCACCAGAGTCGGCGGATTAATACTTGTCTGGGAAGATTGCAGTACTGGCTCAATACATCGGTAGGCCACCGCCTGTCATTCTGAAGACCAGCTATGCATTTAATCACCTCAAACGATGCTTAATTATGTCGAATGCGTGGTGTGTCCCTCAACGATTGATCAACGTCCAGAGTTTTATTCTTTTGTTTTCATGCATTGTTGAATTGTCTAACACAAGCTAATTCCAATTTAAAAAATCGTGTACTAAAAACGTTACATAGACAGAAGATGAACGATAAAATCACCTTTGCCGTAGTAAGATTGGCGTCCGAAACCATTTCACAGTTCCTCCCTACTACTTTCCACGGTCCAGCTCCAGGACCAAATACAAACGAGAATGGAGATTGACAAGCCTTGCAGATCTCCTAACATATTCTTAGGTTACTTTGCTAAGTTGGTGAGCTCTTAAGAAGCACAAAAACAAATAAAAGAAAACAGATACAAAGTGGCTGTTCTACCTTCAGATCAAATTCCTTCTCCTTGTGAATTTTTGGGAACAGATTCCCAGGTCCACCAACATCGGCAATTACAAGTTTTTGGCCAAAACCACTTGAAGTCATGGAACAAGGCTCAACCGACAGATCTACAACAATAGGGAAGGTTACTGCCATTCACGTACACAACCAAACTGTCCCAATTTGTTTTTATAAACAAAAGCTCTCAGGAATATCGCAAAATTGCCCGCATTAATGCATAGAATAACATTACTAACAATAACAACATTATCGCATTAATGCATAGAATAACATTACTTACCTACTTGGTTACTTGGATGGCCAGTCTTCACGGACTGTGAGGGCCCCAGCATAATTTCCACTTTTTTGGTTTCGCTGGTTTAGCTATCGTCGTTTTTTCAAGCCCCGAGGTCAGCCTAGCCAAAGTCTGCCCTAGGTCGTCACCACCACAGGCAGTCGCCGCCCTTGTGGATCAGAGGTAGACTTGCCACCATGCATTTCGTTTAGTACCAGGACAGTGGTAGACCCAAGTGTTGGTTTTCTCTTAGCTAGGCTTCTTGATGAAAGCGACGGACTCTTTGTCAGCTTGAGAGACCATGCTAGGGTGTGGGATGAATCCCCACTGTAGATCGCAGCCCGACACTCAAGGACACCTCCCAGCCACGACTGGGCGGTAAACCATTGGGAGAATTTGACTTCACCAGAGCAAAAATCTCTGTTAGAGATGCTTTGTTAAAAATACTACCATTGTAACTTTATTTACTAAAGAAGATACATGTAATAAAAAGCCAGAAACAACAAGATGGGTTAAGAAACCTCAGATACCAATTGACAACGATAAAATCTACCTGGACATGGTCCCACTTCGACAGTGACATTTTTGCTCTGCTCTGTGAAAATTGCTCTTCAACGCTGACTCGACGATAGGCAGTAACTCACTATTGGATGGTTTCAATGTTTCGATAAGAATCGGATTCGACGACATCTGAAACTAATTCAGGTCTTCCACAGAAAAAGAAAGAAAATAAAAAGATATGGGGAAAAGAAGGAAAGAATGTATCGCAAAGTCTACCTCGACAATCTGGAAACCAATAATATTATCGCGTTATTTTCAAACAAGGAAACTCCACAAGTGTTCTCTGTGTGAAAATTTCATCAACTTTTTTTGCCTCAAACTCCTAGCAAAGGTTTTCTAACCCTTCTTTCGGATACTTTAGAAAAACTGGATGGAAGCTGCTTCTTTCCTTCTCTCCTTTCTTCCTTCTCTTTCTCTGAAATCTTTTCTACTTCTATTAAGCTCGTCACGTCTTCCTAAATTCCCGAACATCTTACAAAATACTTATACGTAGACTTGTAAAGTACTAATAAGTTAAGATATCTTCCATGCTAAAGACATGTCGATGATGTTTGACCGATTTCTTACTGTTTCAATCGTCTTGTTCTTTTCAAAGCACTGAATACGGCAGGATTTTGCGAGACTTGTCGTCAGTACGTTCGCGAAAAAAAGTGTAGCACTGAAGGAATTTAGGAGGTTCTAGGCGGTCTAGTAGTTTTCAGTGAGACATATATCTTTCGCGTTTTCTGTGAAAATACTGCAGAAATACACAAAACACCATATCTAAAACACCATACAGAGCACTCAATTACAAACCTAAATGGATCGGTTGGTGAGATTGTTGAAATCCATGAAAGTTGCAGTAAATTAAAAGCACCTGTAAAAGATAAACTCGTCATGTAAATCGTTTTCTTACCTTAATATCAACGCAATGAGTCAATAGAGCATCATAGCGGCAGAGTAGACGGGATATCGTAAAAGATACTCAACGGATATCGTAAACCATCCAGCACCCTTCACGAAATGTGAGAAATCCACACACAATGAGGATAAGCACGAACATCGCGAAAATCTGCTCTAATGACAATGCGGGCATTCGGCCTTGTGCCAATCGCTCTCGATCGTTCTGGATCGCTCGGTGGCCTAGACGTATGGATCGTTTTCGTACTGTGATAGCTCTAGTCTTAAGATGGTAGACCTCTCTTCTATTCGGACGGAAGGCGACAGATTATCAAGTAGCAGTTAAGTCGACGAAACAAACCTGTCAACCCATGAATTTGAATAAAAGAAGGGCTGGGATCTGCACTTGTACCAGGACCGTCTAAGTGTCCATCTTAAACCAATAACGTTCGTTGCGAATGCGATTCTCGAGGCCTTGATTAGGCGCAGGAAGAATCGTAGAATTAAGAAGTTAAGCATGAAGCATAACGTTGCGTCTCCTGTTCAGTATGCCTTCTATGTCATTCATGTAGGCAGCCCTGCCACTGATTCGCTCTGCTCAGTTGTACGGTGAAGTCGTTCATCATATTNAAATGGATCGGTTGGTGAGATTGTTGAAATCCATGAAAGTTGCAGTAAATTAAAAGCACCTGTAAAAGATAAACTCGTCATGTAAATCGTTTTCTTACCTTAATATCAACGTAATGAGTCAATAGAGCATCATAGCGGCAGAGTAGACGGGATATCGTAAAAGATACTCAACGGATATCGTAAACCATCCAGCACCCTTCACGAAATGTGAGAAATCCACACACAATGAGGATAAGCACGAACATCGCGAAAATCTGCTCTAATGACAATGCGGGCATTCGGCCTTGTGCCAATCGCTCTCGATCGTTCTGGATCGCTCGGTGGCCTAGACGTATGGATCGTTTTCGTACTGTGATAGCTCTAGTCTTAAGATGGTAGACCTCTCTTCTATTCGGACGGAAGGCGACAGATTATCAAGTAGCAGTTAAGTCGACGAAACAAACCTGTCAACCCATGAATTTGAATAAAAGAAGGGCTGGGATCTGCACTTGTACCAGGACCGTCTAAGTGTCCATCTTAAACCAATAACGTTCGTTGCGAATGCGATTCTCGAGGCCTTGATTAGGCGCAGGAAGAATCGTAGAATTAAGAAGTTAAGCATGAAGCATAACGTTGCGTCTCCTGTTCAGTATGCCTTCTATGTCATTCATGTAGGCAGCCCTGCCACTGATTCGCTCTGCTCAGTTGTACGGTGAAGTCGTTCATCATATTGATTTCATGACTTCGTTTCAGATAGCTGGATCATCCGGAGATATCCCGTCTGGCTGAGAATCAAAAGCATATCAGGGCGTGCGTGTGTAACGCAGTGGTGAGAGGTGCCCTGTAGTACACATTGGGTCAATCTGGCGCAAAGCTCACCGAGCCTTCCATCTCTCAGAGGTCGGCGAATTGCTACCAGACCTATCAGGGAGAATAACAGTATTGACTCACATGAGTAGACCCACTGCGAGTCATCGTATAGGCTGGTTATACACTCAATCACCTCGAACGATCCTTAATGAAGTGGAATGATTGACTCCTTCACCAAGTGATCAATGCCTAATCAATTTGCCGAACCAGAAGAGGTGGAAACCTTGGTGAACCGGGGACACGGGATGGGACCCACCGACCACCGACCGATCCAACACGTAGTGCAGGGCGCCTCTGGAAAATCCTTTGTAATATTTTTCTTCAGATCTAACAGATATCGACTGTTGATATTAGTTGTACCGGGTTTTTATTTACTTACTTGCTTTGCTTATCTATTTATTTTTATTTAGGGAAAGGAAGATCGTGTGGTTGCCATCTTTTAATTTTCATCCATGTGTTGTCCACTTGAGCATTAACATAGCATGTCCGATGCTGGCGGTAAAAGGTTTTGGCGAGATTATATTGCAATGTCGATAAATTGTTCTTTCAAAGTTATGGAGCTGATGAACAACAATTGTGCGTTGAGCAGAGACGCCCTGTTTTTGCGGAGCTTTCGTAATGTCTTCTATTCCTGCTGAATCGAAAGTCTTTCTAAAGTCTTTGAAAGTAAAGCAGAAAAGTAGCAGCACTTCATAGTTGATGTTCTTTAAAATTTGGATATGACGGATAGGACTGGACCACTTTTCAAACCATTCTGCTTGCCTACAGGGGCTGTACGTCCAAGGCTCTGTAGGCAATAGGATTCCCATCGAAGACGACAGGAGGAAAGTCCAGGGGTGAGTCCACTGTGACAAACAGTGGACGTATTAGGTGATAACTGCAGACGCCATGTAGGCTCTTTATATACAGTATGGCTGTTTTTCCGGTTTTCAGTTGACTGCGAACTAATCATTCCGACAAGCATCTAGTGAAAAACTCAGGCACGGTGATGACGAAGGCTAGCGATGGGTTCTTTAGACGTTCGCAAACAATTATTTTGGCCCTACGGTTCTTCACTGAATAAATGATGGAACTTCAGAAAGAAAACTGTTGGGATGACATCTGTTCTACCTGGCTTGACACGAAGGCACGCCAACGTGGTCACCGAACGGTTCATGATATAACTTGTGCATGAACTCCATTGTACTTCCGAATGCAATTAGTACTCCGTATGAATACCCGAAGACGATTATCGTGGTCATGGAATTAGCGAAATTTCACTAGGCGTTGACGATGTTCCTTCTAACTTCTGCTTTTCGAACCAATACTGCTGTTTTCTTCTCCTTAAGGTTTTTGTTGCTTTTTTGCAAAGCTGTGGAGGCATGGACTTCTGCTAGTTTGCTTGCAGGTAATGCGACTTCATGTTGGTGCAACTCGCAAGCTGTGGACACGCGTATCTCGGTGACTTTCAAGACCTCCGCTTTTTTAGCTCTGCCGTGGAGGGTTTTGTTGATCCGATTCTTTTCCTCGTCGATGTTGTTAATAAGGGTATCTTCTTAAATATTAGCTTAAGAGAGAGCAAATCCTAGTCTACATTGGTTTAGACTTTCTTTGCACTTATTTTGTAAAATATTTTTAGGATAACTATGGTAAATTACTACCAGCTATATTGCCCTGAAATAGACCAATAGTCGTTGGTTCGGTCTCGCTCCCCACCTCACCAAGCCTTCCATCACTACGAGGTCTACATAACAGCACTGACCTGATTCATCGGCAGGCCACCGCAAGACATTGTATAGACCAGCTATGCATTTAATCACTTTTAATGATACAACCACAACGTTGCTGAGATATTTGCAAAACTCTGGACCGCAGGTGTCTATGGTGGGGAACGAACGCGCTATTGTCCTTTCCGGGGAGTAACGCGTTCAATCCCGCTGACGGGCGATTGCTGTGGTAAAGA